TATTTTGAATATTCCTGTTGGCATTTCCTATGTTTAATTAATTAAATTTCAACAGCTCGGGAGAGAAGGCCATGTTTTTTTTAATATCGCACGCTGCTGGCGGCATCCTACACGTACAGGTATGTTACCACTGGCCTCGCTCCAATACTCACCAAATGTGCAAAATGGCGATGGAGTAGCACTATCTTAAATGTATCTGTCCGCATTTAAGTCCGCACCTGCATGTATCTCACCGCAATTACGTCCAGAAACAAGTATGAAAGTCCTAGTGTGTATACAGTTCAATACACCCTTATTCTTATCTGGCAATCTGACAGCAGCTTGCCAGTGAACAGTGTGAAGGATCAATCGGATGATTAGGATCACTCGAACAAGCAGGATATATTTTTTTTCCCTTGCTTTCTTCTTCTTTTTTTTTTTTTTTTTTTTTAGAGGTTGTGTGGAGGCTTGAGGTATGAAACAGGGCCCTGAACAGGCACAACCGAGGCTATCAGCTCATGCACCACCCAGGCACTCAGAGAAGGGCATAGAACCGAACTGGCAGACCAGGCCGGACCCGGTTCCCAGCAGGCGAAGCTCCCCACCAATAGACTGGTCACTGGAGCCATCCCACTGGCAAGTCCCCAATCCTGGTGCTCATAGACATATCTTCTTTGCTCGTTGTCGTATGTGTTCACAGGGCTTCACTTTTTTTTTTTTTTAGGCCATTTTTTCCTTTTCCCTCGTTGGTGTCTATAAAAAATTTATAAAGTCTTCCTTCACCGTCTGGATGCTCCTGTCATTATCTTCAATGCAACTTCTTTTCTCTTTTCTTTTCTTTTCTTTTCTTTTTTTTCAAGGGGCTCAGTCCCCAAGGCTTGGATTATGAAGTTATGAATTATGAAACACCGGATCAGCTTTGGGGAGTAGGGTTTTCCTTGTTAGGACTGGCAGCGCAATGGAAGCATCTCGCGCTTCTGTGCTGAGCTTCTTCAGCAACATAGCATTGAAGAGAAGACCGGATCAGATCAAGGTACCACATATCCCCGGGTGCTAGCAATGTCTGTTCTAATCAGCATCGCTAGCACAGGAGGGATCTGTTAAGAAAAAAAAAAAAAAAAAAAAGATCAAGGTACCACATCGTGAAGAACATGAAGGAGTGGATGATGAGGCCTCTGCCTCCTCCTTTTTTCCCTTTTTTTTTTCCCTTCTGAGGAGGACAAAGGTTTGGCCCATTAGAGAATCTCATTGATTCTCTTAATCATATCTGCGGCGATTCTGCACAGGTTTTACCGTTTCAGTGCCAATTTCGGGAACAGGCCATCTTTCTTTTCTTTTTTCTTTTTTTTTTCTTTTTCTTTTTTAAGCAGGAAAATTTGGACGAGGCAACAGGCCATCTTTCTATGATGGTGACTTTCTTTGCAAGTGTCTTGGCACATTTTTTTTCTCGATTTGGCGGGTGTGGCCAGCCAAACAGATCCGGTAGGCCGAGCCCTGAAAGTTGTGGGGCATTATACATGGCCGCGTTGGAAGAAAATAGCTGGTAAACATATTGGGCGCTTCAGTCAGAGCAGATCAACAAGGGTGGTGCCTTTTGAGGACCCTTGGTTGGGCGAGGGAGGGGGAGAGAGCCTCCCAACAATCACTCTGTAGTGTTTCTCCAATCCACTTTCCTTTCTGATGCCCTGCTTCCACAGCCACTTTTTACCGTCTTCACCCAAAGAGAACACCCCCTTCATTATGACTGTAGGTAGACTGAAAGTTGGCCCAAATGCTTTTTTTTTTTTTTTTTTGGTATGAAACCCATCATAACAGATAGGAGTGATGATAAGAGCATACACGCCTACCTGTCAAGTTGGCCCAGATGCAACTATTACGACCGGGCGTTCTATTCGAGTGGAGATGGTAGTGCCTTGGATGATGAATTGTGCCCCTTGCCCCCTTATTTTGACTGGGAGTTCTGTGAGGTTATTTGTAATCATTACTGGCAGATTGAGTAAGCCTCCACCATTTTGGAGGGTAGAATCTGGGAGATCAACAGGTTTTTCCTTTTTTTTCTTTCTTAAAAAAAAAACTTCATGCCCAGGGGGTTCTGCCTGAGGAAAAAGAGGCTTCTTTTCTTTTCTTTTCTTTTTTTCCTTGCTAAGTTTTGGACCATTTCTCTAATTATGAGTGTCATCTCTGTAGACTGTATCATTCCAACTGTAATGGATCATCTCCCCTAGTAATGTGGTTCAGGTATTTCATTTAAAAAAAAAAAAGAAAAAAAGGAATCTGTCGACGAACATAGGAACGGGGCTTTTGTTTCCCATCATGAAGGAGAGTGACTGTCGTTGTTGTCAATCAGACTAGAGTCTTCCAGCGAATACAAAGTACGCTCATGATAACTGTATTTTGGACAACTTTCAGTCTAGATACAGGGATAATTAAGGAGCATTCTATTCGGGTGAAGATGGTAGGGGATCTTCTTGCCTGACTGATCTGAAGATTGGGAGGAGGTTCTCCTCTGAGAATCAGGATGCCGGCCCATTGGGCCTCGCTACACTGCTCTTTTTTTTTTTATGTTTAATGGGGACAAGGCTCCAATCTATTCGTGGGGAGTGCTCACAATATGCACAAAATACAAAAATTATGGCATTGTATCTTTCCTTGTTCTAGCATAAAATTCATTCGCACAATTGGCGAGTAGTGGAGCCAGGCCCATTATGTGCACCCATTATGCGAAATTTGCCTCAGTGCAGTACTTTGAGTATTTCTGAGAAATTCTGACATTATGTGTGACATATGTCTGAAGTTCTATCCTTTTTTTTTCTTTTTTTCTTTTTTTTTTCTTTTCTGAAATCAGTGTCTTTGCTAGGAGAGGTGGTATGAGCACTCCCTCCTAGCAAGAGTCCTGGGTCCTCCGGTCTACAGGTGGGGAAGCAGCATCTGCTGGAAAGCGGGTCCTGCTCCCATCTTTTCCACCACAAAATTGGAGGCAGTCCCCGGTGCTGGTCCCCACCACAAATAGATCAGATCTTCCCAACAACCGTCTGCTACTGGAGGTTGCTTATGTCACCCCCAATCGCAGTCCCACAAATGGCTGTTAATTAAATTATTCCTTAAAAAAAAAAAAAAGGGGTTACCCAGTTACTTGGTCATGTGTTATCAATCTATTATGGCTTGTTGCAAGTTTTTGGGTCGGGACTTGCCACACGCACACAAAATGAAAACGAAAAACGAAAGGAGTGCGTCTTTCTACCAAAAAATGAACTGATTCATCGGTTCACTGTAAATAGTAAAGAATGTATTTTGCCACTTCTGTGGGCAGATGCACTCGTCACTTTTTCTCGTTGTGTGTGGGGTGCGGCAAGGCGCTTCCTGTGAAGGAAGGTGCACACGCTCTCACTAGTAATGTGCAGTCTGATTTGTTTTGAAGACTTTTATTTCTACACTGCTTGTGCCGCTTGTAATGATGCAGATCTGCGTGAGCCATTTTCCTATGCCTACTTTCGAAGGGCGGCCGGATGACGTGTCGTTTGTCGTCAATCAGTTGCGTGGCACTCTGGACATTGACTGTCCCACCTGGGTAAGCTTTTTTTTTTCTTTCACCTCTGTCTCATTCCTATTCCCCTTGAAAGTTGGCTGCATTACCATTTTTAGTTATTTTTACTATTTTTAGTATTTTTTACTATGTTTTAATTCATGTGTTTATCCTCTCCAAAATGGAGGAGCGATGCCTATAACCTTATGGTTTTCTTCGAAAATCAAAATAAAATCATGTGCTTGCCTGTGTGTACGTGTGTTCGTTTGTGTGTATTGCTACCGGCTACCAGAGTGGCGGGCCCACTTGCTTGGCCGGGCCAAAAAAAAAAAAGAAAAAAAAAAGGGCATAAGTTGTTCAGATTTGACACCACAGGGCCAACCACCACAATTGAGATTCTTGGCCTTCTTTCTGTGACAGTTTCTTTGGATTTTTGCTTTTTGTTCAGTGATTTCGAGCATCAAGTTTGTGGCTTTGCATTTGTTTAATATTGTCCAATATTCTAGAATCGGATAGGATGGGTAAGCTTTTTTTTTCGTTTCTTTTTCAAATTAAAAGCTCCCATATGTTCGTGGGGTGCAGCACGTGCTGGGAGCCAGGACCAGTGTCTCTGATGAAATTATCCACATCATAATTAATAATTATGAAGAAGATGATGATGATAATGATGATAATGATGATAATAATCTATGAAAATAGTAAAATTTGTGTAAAAAATTAAAAATACTCTGAATTGCATGAGCAAGCTCGGGCCTCACTTCTACCAAACCCTAGATAGGTCTATAGGCTGTAGAATTTTTCATTTTTTTTTTTCCCCACTGAAGACTCAGCATATATCCCTGCTCTTTTCTCCATTAATAATAACAAAAACTACTTGTTTGTCTAAATAAGTATACGTTTTTTTATGCTACTTTTTGAACAGGCAGATTACCATAAAAAATAGATAACTTTTAATCGCTTGTATTTTTTTCTGAAAATTCACTGGCCTTGTTTGTTTTCTTTCAAACCTTCGTCACCATCGAGAAGTCTTTTTTGGAACCAGACTGTTCTAGGAGTGTATACTGTTCTTAACCAGTTTGTGTACCAGCGTTCTCCATGCTGTAAAGGCACTAAGGATCCTCTGCAATCAACCATTTGGTCGCCTTCATCGCTATTACTGGAGGCAAAGGCATATGTTCCTTCTTCACCTCAAAAACGAAAAAAAAAAAGAAAAAAAAAAAAGACGTGTTTTTATTACTTTTTAACTGTTTTAGCAACTGCCCTATTTAAGGAGTACAATATTCACTATTTAGTCATGAGACTCGTAACTTATCGTAAGATCCATAACCAATGAGGTTTCTTTCATACGCATCAGTGATGCTAATGCTGTGTCAATTGGGAACCAGCTCTTGCTATGAATTATGAATGATATTTCACCCAGGTACATCAGTTCGCTGCAAAAGACTTGAAAAGAGAGCTGATAGATACGGAAAACGGCAGCAGAGTCTCTGTATATATGGCTGAAAAATATGTGCGTTACTAGGGGGGGTTAGGGGGGATGCTCATATCACCTCCATAGGCGCCCCAACCGATGCTAAGGGAAAAAACAACAACAACAACAACAACAACAACAACAACAACAACAACAAAAACAACAACAACAACAACAACAAAAACAACAACAACAACAACAACGAGCAGAATCAGAATCTACAGTGCCGCCTGCAGGATGGACTGGTGGTTTAAAATGTAGAGTTTGGTTTAAGGCAGGAGAGGACTCAGAAGAGTAGGTGCGAAAAATTGACACGGAGACGGAGGACACTCGACATGGCAGTGGAATTCAAAGTTGCAAACTCATACTTTTTGTCTGTTTGTGGTGCTTCGTCTTTCATTTTCTCTTCCCTCCCTTCTCTTGTCTATTATTTTTTGGCTGCATGAAAATTGATGAATGAATGCTTGTTCAACAGTTGGATTGGTTCCATGGCGGGCTTCAGTACCAAGTCATACATCATCTGTTTCCACGACTGCCTCGTCACAACCTGCGAAAAGTGAGAGCTATCATTGAGCAATTCTGCAAAAGGCACGACCTCAAGTATCATTCATTTACGTTCCTGGTACATTCTTACAACCTTAAACCTTAAACCTTAAACCTTAAACCCTAAACCTTTAACTTTTAACCTTTAACCTTTAAGGCTTTAACCTTTAACCTTTAACGCTTAAACCTCATTACCTTTAATGGGTAATATTTAACCTTTAACCTCAATTACTTAAAGGGATAGCTCTAAACCCAAAAGCGCGCAAACCAGTTTGGCAGGACTCCTCCTTTGTGATTCTTGAAGTTTAAAGGACCCCGAATGTCCTGAATCATCGACTTGCATGTCCAGACATTCTCTCCTTCTTGGCCTCGTTTCCTTTGTGTTTTTTTTTTTGTTGTTGCAGCGAACGATGACTTAAAACAAGGAACTCCTTCCTGGCTTGTGAACCCTAAGGGCCTTATCATCCCGTGCTCTCGGGGCAGTCTGTCCGAGCGTGAACGCCAAAAAAAAAAAAAAAAAAAAAAATCGAAAAAACAACTATGTTATGCAGAAAAATAAACTGAATGACTTTTGCTTTGGGCTCACATCGAAATTCTTTGTCAAATTTAAAAAAAAAAAAAAAAAAAAAGCCAACCCTTTTTTTTCTTCTTTTTTTCGTGCTTTAAACTGCTGAAAATGGAGTAGCCCGGGCCTGGACGTTGGGGACTTCCCCTGACTGTCCGGCCAGGACGTCCTGCCATCGGACAACTGCTAGCCTAGCTCATAACAGAACTGCCAGTGATAACTGCAATAAACTCAGTCTGATTGACGGGAGATGAGGGGAAGCTTACCTGGCGAGGACACGTGTGATCTGCTGCTGTCTCCACGAAGGTGAGGAAGTGCTGTGCCATCCTCCATATCTGATTGCTGACGTGGAGGGAGGATGGGCGCCCTGCTATGATCTGCACAGTAATTAAGTCAGAGGACGTCAAAGGGAACGTACATTGCTGAGGTGGCCATAGCGGAGAAGCCCGAAGTGGGAGTGGGAGAAAAGGAGTCGTACATGAACTGTTGATTATCCTTGAGACTCTCCTCCTCCTTTTCTCTGTCTTTTCTCTCCCCCTGCTCTTCTCTCGCCCCCTGCTCTTCTCTCTCCGCCTCCTCTTCTCTCATGCTCTTCTTTGACGGGACAATACTCTTCACTTGTGCACATGATCGGGACATGGACTTGTAATCGCTGTTGGAGACTTCATGAGTCATGCTGGGTTCAGATATTCATTGCACCGGACTGACGCGCCCCAGAATCGACAAGGAGCCGGAACCCTGAGGTTCTGTTAAAAAAAAAAAAAAAAAAAAAAAAAAAAAGCTTACCGACGAGATGGGTTCATTACATAACTCAGTTGTTGTTTTAACTTTTAAATGTTTTTTTTTTTTTTCGTGAGAATTTTGCAAGCTTCTGAATAAAGGCTTCAATAAGCAATGCCAACTTGTTACCAAAGGCTAACGGAAAAGAGAGCAGACTCACACTAGTTCTTATCTGGATGCATCTGGCCTTAATTAAGGTCTGCCACAGATGTATCTGACCATAATTACAGCCAGAACCAAGTCGAAAAAGACCTACTGTGAGCACGCCCTCCATCATAGCAAAGGAATCTGCAATCTGTGTAACCGTAAATTTATTCTCTTGATCCTATTATGATAGTACTATACTATTATGATATTATCCCTATCACATTCCTTTTAGCAAGTTTTTACATCTCCACCCCCCCCAAAAAAAAAAACATGTTATTTGTTTTTGGTCTATAATACCCTATATTCGTAGGGAGAACAGACAAGGAGCCTTTTTTTTTTTTTTTTTTTTTTTTTTTTT